ACATGAGGGGGGGGTAGCATATATATGTATGTATATGTGTCTGTGTATGTTTTTTTTTGTGTTTTTGCACATGTATATGTCTATGTCTATGTGTATGTATATGTGTCTATGCGTGTGTATGTATGTATGCATTTATGTATGAGCTTCGAGTGCGAGTGAGAAAAATGTATGTATGTATGTATGTATCTATGTATGTATGTATGTATGTAGGTAGGTAGGTAGGTAGGTAGGTAGGTAGGTAGGTAGGTATGTAAGTATGTATACGTACATTTGTATATACGTATATAATTTACATATTGATACATCTTGCATTTTGCCGATGATTCTCTCGCTCTCTCTCTCTCTCTCTGTTCTCTCTGCAGCAAGAGAGGCATTTAGGGCTTCATTGCTTGTCGAGGCCAACGGTGTGTAATAGTTTGTTTTTCGGCTGTTGACGATTTAGGGCCACCAAGAAGTGCAGCTAGTCTTTCATGCTGTATCCACAAGCGCACCACACTGACCCCAATTCCAAATCCTCGCGCTTCAAGGGTTTCGCAACCTTGCGTCTGCCGGAAGACGTGCCGCTTCCACTGGGAGCAGCTACGGGCTCAGTACTGCCAGCACAAGCAGATGCCTCCTGGTCGTCGTGAGAAGAATTGAAGCTCTGCTTGACCAAAGTAGCATGACTGCTTAGAGACGAGGGCATGCGGTAGATTTCGCTGGATCTTGGCGTAAGGCCGGCTGCACTTGGAAGCCCTTCTGAAACAGGCCAGACCAGGGACGCGATCAGTCTGCATGTGAGTTCTCTTCTGGCTGGTGCTCTTGCTCGTCTTGCACAACTTGTACTTACAGGGAATCCCAGAAAGTTGGAACATAGGCTTCGGAGGATTAGTGCTGGGATCCCTTATTACCTTAAGGGCAGGAGGATATTGATGTTCCAACTTTCTGGCTTCTACTTTATTGTACTTAGCAAAGTAGCATGATTGAGTACAGCTGCAGGCAGACCAAGGCGACTGCTCGGCGATGAGCTCAGACAGTAGCAATACGCATGGTCAGTGGCCGGTAAGCTGCGGAGAGTTTGCAGCACGTATCGGTGTGAGAAGAAGTAGTGACCTAAGTAGTGCATAAACGCGATAGTGCGGGCCGATATTTTGTAGACTTTTCTAGATTCTGGTGAAACAGTGTGGGTTTTGTGCGGGTCAGATTCCGACAACGGCTTCGAGGTGGTCTCCATGCCAACTCCTTCTCCTGGAGTTTCAGAGGCCTGCTCTGTCCTGCGGCTCCCAATCTAGCCAGTCAGTTTGTCAACCCACCCGCCCACCCACCCACCAGACCGACCGACCCACCAAACCGACCGACCAACCAGCATACATACAGCATACATACCTTGGGAAGGATGCCGGTTGATGCAGGGCTGCTAGGGCGTCCTCGACGCGCACCCGAGCGTCAGGCAGAGGTTGTGGCCTACTTGAAATGGGTGCCCGTCTCAGCTTGGCGGCATGAGGAAGGGTTTGGCGAGTTGGGAAGCTGTGTCAAGCCGGACTCGCGTCATACCGCCGTGTCAGAAAGAGCCACCTCCAGATGTTGAGCGGAGAATCCTCTGTGCTTTTCTGGCTGATCGCGGTTGGGAAGCTGCAGTGCTCTAAGCAGCGCGATAGTCCGGCCACAGCTCCGGGCACCACCAAGGCTCACTGGAATTCGCTGTTTCCACCTCAGTTTTATCCACAGTATTGTGTCGCATGTCGCAGCGCAGAGTGTAGCTGCGGCGCCGCAGCCAATATTTCGCGTCGTGTGCTTCCGAGGCGTGGAATGACGCGACATGAGGCATTGCGACAGTACGGCATCTTGACGTGCCTCGCCCAAAGTGAAAGCTCGACGGAGAGCCCGACATCCTGGAAGTCATCCAAGACTAAACAAGGGTTTAGGGTTTAGGGTTTAGGGTTTCACTTAGCTTCAGTTGCCTTGCTGTCCTGTCGAAGTGCGGCATGAACCTTCCATCCCCCGTCAAGCCTCAGACTTTGCGCTGTTGCCAGCACTGCACAATGGGGTGGCAGCCGTTACCGAAAAGCGAAGCGAACAGCTGCAGCGGCAAGAACAACAGCGGCTGTACCGGTAAGCACCAGTAGTGACGACCATTATGACGGCATGAAGCTCGTCAGCAGCAGCAACCACCACGTAACTTGCACTGCCAGCCCAGGTCCTGCCCTCCGTCGCCCGGTTCTGCCAAGCAGCTTCTGAGGCGGCAGGACTCCTAAGCAGGGCTTACATCGAGATCTGCGCTTCTGGTGGGGCTCCGACCGCAGAGGATTGCAGGTTGTGTAAGGTGCAGATCTTGAGGAAAAAAACTAGGGCTGTCTGGAAAGAAGTTGGACAAGAGGACAGTTTGCCGCCCGCAGCTGAGCCGACATGACGGGGTTTTCCATTGCAGAGGTACTTGGAGGATCATGGGTCTTAGTAACTAGGGTTATAAATTATAAATAAGGTAACTATAATTATAGTCCCAACTAGGTTACTTATAACCTTACTTACTAAGTCCCATGATCCTCCAAGTAGTTGGGAGGGGCCCCGCAACCGAAGTGCAGAATGCCTTGTCTTGCGGCCTTGGGTGCCTTTCCGCTCGTGCCCCGAGTCGACTGTTTCTTCCAGAGTCTTTTCGCTGTTTCACTTGCCTGGCGGGTGCCACCGGCCAAGTCACCTTAGGTTTGTCCAGCTGTTGAAATTACTAGTTACTAGTTATTAACCTGTCACAGCATGGTCGCCGTCGGCAGCATGTGCTCGAGTTCTTGCAGTGGTTTCAGCAGACTTTGGCTGGACCCCGCCAGGGCAGATTGCAATTCGAGGCAGATTTGTCTAGCAGCCAGCCCGAGCGGCTGATGAAGGCTCTTGTCAGGGATCTAGGAGCTTGGCAAAGTACTTTTCTGCACAAGAAGCTTAGCGGCTTAGCTGGGGCTACCTTCTAGCTGAGCACTAAAGATGCTCTTTTGGGCGTGAGGCCAATCAACCGATAAAGCAACAAGGAGAGCATGCAGCCGAACAGTGATAACATGCAGCAGGCAGCAGGTGTAGCAGATGTGCGAGCATCAAGGTCATCACGGCTTACCCTCTCTGATAAATCGGTGGCTTGACCGTAAGCCGGTAGTGGCGAGGTATCATCGCTGTAGTATCAGTCTTGGTCGTCGTCACCGTACTTCTTGTAGCATCAGGGGTAGGAGCAGCAGGAGGAGGAGAGAGGAGGCGGAAGGAGGAGGAGGAGGAGGAGTAGCAGAAGTAGGAGTAGCAGTAGCTACAGCAATAGCAGAAGGAGCAGTGCTAGCAGCAATTGCAGTTGTAGCAGTGCTTTCAGAAATAGAAATAGCAGCAGCAGTGGCAGCAGTAGGAGTAGTAGCAGGAGTCGTCGTCGTAGTCGCCCTCGTCATCCTGGAAGCTGCAGCCAAGTCTCCCCGAAGATCTTGACAAGCAGGTCTGTACATATGAGCATTCTGCACCATGCAGACTTTGGTGCATCATGGTATCACGTGCGGCTAGCAACATGTGGCGTGGTACGTTTTCGAAACAAAAAGGTTGCGGACATTCGTCGCGCTACGTTCCATCCCTGCATGGTTGCTGCGCGACCGGCGCACTGGTAGTTAGAACTAGCCAGGATGCAGCTTCTTCTGCCACTCAGCATAGTAGCTTGCCTCACATCTGTCTTGACGTTTTTTGTTCCAGGCAGAAAGTTAGCTGATGGATGTGAGACTGCACTTCCAAGCATGACTCGTCAGCATCCGGCTGAACCGACGCTTCTAGATGTCGGAAGATCCGAGTATCCGTCGTGGCGCATGTTGTACCTTTTGCATGCACAAGCTGTTTGTCCCTCTGCAGAGCCTGCCTAGTTTCTGCATTTGTGAGCATGACAATCACAACTACCAGCCGTCGGTGCCGTTTAGCAGATGTTAGCAGTGAGGACTCCTTGAGCCCGACCCATGGCGGTTGTGGCCAGACATGGTGTCGAGGCCGCTGCTTTTGCATTTCGTGTGAGCGATGTACGTCCAGATGACTGTGGAGGAGTGCGCGATGGGTTTTCTGTGGTTTCAGCGTGCAGCAGTGTACTTAGGCAGATCCATAGTTACAACCAGACAGGCATGGGTGTGCGCTGGTTGCTTTGGTCCGACGTCTCCAGCCTCAGTCAGCATTTCGTTGCAGTGGATCCTGTTTTCATGTCTCTATCGGCTCTAGTGGGCCCTTCATGTGGGAGTTTCCGAAAATCAGGGGTACCTTATTTTGGGTTCCTTATAATAAAGATCCTACTCTTCAGGGTACCATATTAGGGTCCCTTATTTTCGAAAACCCCCATGTCTGTGGCCAAACGGTCCAAGGAAGATGTCAAGGAAGATCTCTTTCCAGCAGGGCTGTGGAGGAGGCACTGGCGATCTGTGGCGGTCATGCCACAGCTTGTCTTGCTGGGAAGCCACCTCGGTTGCCTGTTTGTGTCATATAGACATATACAGGCATGTATATTAATATGTATTTATCTATTTTCGTATACACGTATATAATATACATATGCACATATGTGCTTGAAACAATGTATCGAAGTTTATGGCCACCGCAACTAACTAGTCCTTCGTGAAGCTACTCGCCATCTCACTGTGTCTTGTGGCACCATCAGGTGCACACTTCACCGGCAAGTCGCCCAAAGTCCGGTCTCCAAGCGCCTGCGTTTGCAGGACAAAGCTCTGAAGGGCAAAGGCTTCATCCGCGACTTGTTATCAGCTGTCAAGTTGCTTTTGGTAGTCCTACTTCAATTCTTCCGGTACTCTTTGACCGAACATGGGAAGGTTGCCCGAGGATGCTCAAGCTTGCATGTTTGTCCTCCATTGAACGTCGAAAGCCTCCAGCCTTTTTGAGGTTGGTGATGGCGCCGCGGACTCGCCCAGAAAAAGGCTCATACTTGTACAAGATGGTCAATTGCTGCTGCTGCTGCTGCTGCCGCTGATGCTGCTGCTGCTCACTACTATTCACTACTGCTCTTACTCAGAACATCGACGACCACTATGTACTGGTTTCTCGGACGAGTAGAGCGAGTGTCATTCTTGCCGTTGTCGCTGTGGCTCGGGGAATTGCTGTCATCAATCATGCTATGCTATTGTTGCGGTTGCGATTGCGGGTGCGTCATTGCAGTGCCTGGCACGATCTGTGCAGTTGGAGTATTAGCATGCGTCTTCAAAAGCATTACTATGCTGATGAACTCAGTTGCTGTTATCGCTATTTTGGTGTGTCTTGCTGCTCCTGCGATGATGACTTATCTTAACTCTGGCCTTCTTTGTTCTTGATGTTGCAGTGCCTATGGCTGCCAAGTTTGCCGCTATCACCGAGACCTGCAGCCCCGGTCAATGCGGTTTGAGCTGGTACCGCCAGCGTTTGCAACACTGAGTCGTAGGCAAATGCCATCGTTATCCTGATCCTATGCGTTCAGGCGGAGATGCTCGGGTGTCCCGCCGAATGCCGTGGATTTTCCGGAACGAGGCAGTGAATGCAGCAAGCTCAGCGCCTTCAATCCTGGTCACTGAGCATCCTGAGTCCGAGGCACGAACTTAAGTTTTCAATGCATACCCGAGACTTAAGCGTGCCCGCTTGCTTGAGTCGAAACCCTTAGCCCTCAGACAACAGCCCGAAAGACTTGTCCTACGTACGTCTCACGCAAGGAGCCTTGAGATTCCTAGGTGTTCCACTGGCTAGGCCATCCCTGTATCAGGCTGTCATAGTCGCGCCCAGCTCCGGAAGCGAGGCTCCTCCAAGCACCCGAAACCCCGAGATGTTCGAAAGCTTTTTGATTATCAATACAGTCAGTCAATACATGTCGAGCAGTCTTGGATATGTCTCATTGCGTCCGGCCCGGCTTGAGGTCGACGAGTTGCGCACAAGCGGGCAGGAAGCATTGCTGGTCAACGCAGAGCCCTCACATCCGTTTCCTGCATGACAGACATGGTCCTGGTGAATGCTTCCGCACCAGCGATCACCGAAACAGCCAAGTTTAGTACACCTTATTAAAGCAAGCAGCTCTTCTAGATGAGATGCTCCCAATGAAGAGTACTGTCAAGGACATATCGCACAGGGAGTCCAAGCCACACGGTTACATGAGAGTCGGGCATAGCAGCTGCATGTTGCGTAGCAGCTTCAAACTCGTGCTGCTCAAGAAAAGCAGTCAGTGCTTGAGGATGTTTGGTTTGCATCTACACTTGGAGGATCATGGGACTTAGTAACTAGGAGTATAAATAAGGGAACTATAATTATAACCCCAACTAGGGTACTTATAACCTGACTTACTAAGTCCCATGATCCTCCAAGCAAGTTGAGCCGATTTGTCGGCTGATGGGGTCCATATCTTCCAGCTGAGAAGCACTCCCGATCAAGGTGGTCCCTAAATTAAGCCCTAAACCCTAAACCGTTTCGGGTTTAGGAGCCCACGTAGTGTAGTGTAGTCGCTGTAACGGAAGCCTGGGAGCTACAGGCCCTGGGCGAGTATACCGTAATATACTATTCTATGCTAGAGTATGCCATAATATACTATAAGATACAAAAGTATACAAGAATATACCATCATAGGTTACAATATACGATAATATACTATGGTATACGATAATATACTAGTATCGTACATAGAACGGAGCTGCCGCCCTTCTGCCGCCCACGCAGAGAAGCTCCGCAGCCAGGTTGAAAACAGCGAGGGCCGAGAGCTGGGTCCCGGGCCTTGGTTCTGGGTTTAGGGATTTAGGGGGTTTAGGGATTTAGGGATTTAGGGGGTTTAGGGATTTAGGATTTAGGGATTTAGGATTTAGGGTTTAGGGATTTAGGATTTAGGGGTTCAGGGTTTAGGGTTCAGGGATTTAGGGTTTAGGGTTTAGGGGTTTAGGGTTTCGGGGCCTGAAGTTTAATACCTGCCTGTACTATTTTGGGCTTTAGGGGTTTAACGTTTAGCGTCCAGGGCATTGCGAATACTATTTTTGGGGGTTTATAGGGTTTATAGGGATTTAGGGTTTAGGGTTTAGGAAATGACCTATACTATTTTGGGGGTTTTGAGGTTTAGGGTTTAGGGAATTAGATGGGGTTTAGGGTTTAGGGAATTACTAATGCTATTTTGGGGGTTCAGGGGTGTAGGGCTTAGGGAATTACATATACTTTTTTGGGGGTTTAGGGTTTTAGGGTCTAGGAAATTACTAATACTAGACGGGGTTCCTTATTGATTGTAATTATAGTATAATATACCCCAAATCGC